TGGGACCTGACGGCATTGCCTATGCCACTATGGATCCTTCTGTACAATATCCTCAAACTCAACCTTTGGCATATACTGGTAGTTACCCTACCATGATCAACTCTGTTAATGCAGGTTTTCCAGGAGCTGTTCCTGTGGGGCCGGACGGCATTGCATATGCCACTATGGATCCTTCTGTACAATATGCTTCTGTTCCACCTGTAGCATATACTGGTAGTTACCTCAGCATGGTCAACTCTGGTAATAGAGTCATTCCAGGAGATGTTCCTGTGGGGCCTGACGGCATGTCGTATGCCACTACGGATCCTTCTGTACAATATGCTTCGGTTCCACCTGTAGCATATACTGGTAGTTACTCTACCACGGCCAACTCTATCAATGCAGGTTTTCCAGGAGCTGTTCCTGTGGGGCCTGACGGCATTTCCTATGCCACTATGGATCCTTCTGTACAATATGCATCGGCACAACCAGGAGTGTTGACTGGTAGTTCCCTCAACATGGTCAACTCTGGTAATGGAGTTTTTCCAGGTGCCTATGCCCCTATGGATCCTTCTGTACAGTATACTTCTGTTCCAACTGTAGCATATACTGGTAGTTACCCTACCACGGTCAACTCTATCAATGCAGGTTTTCCAGGAGCTGTTCCTGTGAGGCCGGACGGCATGTCGTATGCCACTATGGATCCTTCTGTACAATATGTTTCTGCACAACCCGGAGCGATGACTGGTAGTTACCCTACCACGGTCAACTCTATCAATGCAGGTTTTCCAGGAGCTGTTCCTGTGGGGCCGGACGGCATGTCGTATGCCACTATGGATTCTTCTGTACAATATGCTTCGGTCCCACCTGTAGCATATACTGGTAGTTACCCTACCACGGTCAACTCTATCAATGCAGGTTCTCCAGGAGCTGTTCCTGTGGGGCCTGACGGCATTACCTTTGCCACTATGGATCCTTCTGTACAATATGTTTCTGCACAACCCGGAGCGTTGACTGGTAGTTCCCTCAACATGGTCAACTCTGGTAATGGAGTTTTTCCAGGTGCCTATGCCACTATGGATTCTTCTGTACAATATGCTTCGGCACAACCCGGAGTGTTGACTGGTAGTTCCCTCAACATGGTCAACTCTGGTAATGAAGTCTTTCTAGGAGCTGTTCCTGTGGGGCCTGACGGCGTGGCTTATGCCAGTATGGATCCTTCTGTACAATATGCTGCAGTTGAACATTCAGCATCATCATTTCCGCTACTTGGGTCGGGTATAGCTGGTCTCCAAGCTTCCGCACAAATAATGTCACCGGTTGAAATGGCATATGATGTAAGTTTGTTTAAAGATAATGATCCGACAGCATCATCATATGTTATAAATACCGCTGACTTACAGATGGTTCAAGGAATGCCATTAGAGGCTCCCGTGGGTGGTATGGTAATGGATATCGTCCCAGCTGGAACAATCGAATCAATTACTTCAATATCAGATGTGCCATCGTCACTCTTGACACCCCCACCCTCTCCAAAATTCTCATCTGTTTCTGATAAAGCTCAGTTTGAGAACGTGGATGATAATTCAAAATAAGATGATAACGCGTCTGTAGATTCCGTTTAAACTCATGTTAAGAATCAAAAGGTTAGATTTTTGAATAAAGAAACTAATGTTCTAATATATTTTTCCAGGATAGTGCGAAGAACAGAAGAATCAAATGTAATATTGAAACACTCACCAATGTCTGTATATTTTGCTAGTGTCTCGAACAATACGATTAAAAAGTTTTATCTCAACATATTCTTTTGATCTGTTACTTTGGATAAGTAGGGTTTGTGGCAGGATTGTAAGTAGTGGGTGCTACATTCGGGTAAACACTTTGGGCCTCCTGGTAAGGCGGTGGTTGATTCTGAAAGTACTTTCTTTTTTGTTTTTAACTCGTTAGCTACCGGCATTTGGTACATGGCATTTGAGCTCACAACTGTTGGGTTAACAACTGTGGGATAAACAGTATTCGAGCTCACAACTGTTGGGTTAACAACAGTGGGATAAGTAGTATACGTGGTTGTAACAGTCGGTTGTTGCTGGATGAACACTGGGCTTTGCTGAACTGTATGAACGTGTCCTCCTCTCACAGGTTGATTGCTGGAATGGGTATTCAACTAGTCAGATGGAGAGAAACACTAACTATGAAGTATTTCCAGCTTGGAGAATTCTCAGTTTGCGCATACCCGGGAGAGACAAAGATACGAAAATGACAGCAAAGACCGAAGCTGTGAAACCAGTCCATAGAAATCCTTGAGCTTAAGACAGAGGTTTTTCTATATGAACAGTTCAACTCACAATAGTACAAACACAGATCACATTCGTAATCGGTGTAATACCAGCATTTGCCTCTATATGGGTTGCAATCTTGATCAGATGCAATGTACCCAACGTATCCCATTACGACGAATAGAGGAATCAACAGCAGAGTCTAACTAGGTGAATATAGGTTGAGAGATCAAATTTTAGCTCTCTCATACCTGGCTGATAATGTAAAGAGTCGTGGCTATACGTAAACGAGTCATAGTTGCTATAAGACCTACTAAGCCACAACATCCAGCGATGATCATGAATATGTAATCTGGATAGGATCATGATCATATACAAGAGTCAGATTGTAAACGTACAAACTCCATCAGGTAAGAAGTAGAAAGTGAAAACATTCAGTGCTGTGGTTATTAAACATAGTAAAAGACATGCGATCTGAAAGAGAAAAGTGCGATAGAGAGGTTGAAGAGTTGCTACCTTTGTTGGTAATCCCAAATATCGTGTACAATCGACAACTCTGTAATTCGAAACATAACTTAATGAAAACAAAAAAATTGAAGACCTAACTGCTCTTCTTAAGTAGACTAAAACCATTTCGTCTTCTCACTGAATGTCAACGTTTTCCTTTTATTGCATTGATAAGAAATATGAATCATTTATATAAGCTTAACATATAAGAAACACATGATATCATCATCTTAGGAAATAGCTTTGACTCAGCTTTGTTTAAACTTTATCACTTATCAATTTATAACAATACTTATTATCTTATTGAGCAGTTACTTTGGCCATACCAACACGTCCATTTCCATAATCATAAACCTTGAACGATGTTCTTTTACTCTTCAAACGCTTTTTATGTCTTACTTGGCAATATTCACGAATGAGTGGGGGACCAAGCATCCATGATGGGTAGAAACCTCCAGCTTCGTTAGGGAAGAAAGCTAGCATACATGGGCCAGCACCAACCTGAAACAGCAATCTCTAATCATTTTCGTTCTTTTGTCTTACTGAAATAATATAATTCTTGGGATTAATATCATAGGCAACTCCATTGATTGTAAATGTGATTGGAGATGGTTTGGCTTGGCAATCAATAAAGTATGCTTCGAACTCAGGGAAATACTTAGCTCCGACTCTTAAAAAAGAAACCACAGTGAGGCAAAAGATGGTTGTACTAACGCGGAAGCAATTCCATTTACTATAGCCAAAGGACCACCGATGAAAGTAGAAGCTGTGTCAGATATTGCTTGCCATCCACCTGTTTGACTTTTTGAGTAGCTGGTTCCTACGTTGATTCTACAAAAGCCATATGATTTGTTTGAATTTTGATTATTTCCTACGAATCCAATTTGAACTGCCAGAATGTTTGTTGAGTAAGAGGAATCCAGTTAACATCTCCACAGTTCGTTTTGTCTAAGGTTCCGACAGTGAAAGATCCACCGTTAACAGTAGAAGTTGGTCCGATACCGGCCATATAAACAACGAAGAGTGGCTATAGAAGCTTATTCAATGACAAAAATTTATATTCATACCTGATCAAGTTTATTCTGTTGTATTAAGTTGTTCATGGGAGGTACAATAGAATCGACAGCTAAGGCAGGCCATCCCAAACCGATGATTCCTAAAGTTTCTTCATTATTTTATTGTATACAATGGAACAAACCATCCAGTGGTTGTTTAGCGAAGTCGGATCCAATCGTTTTCGCTTGGCCAAATACTTGGTTAGTGGCACAAATATTAGTTCCGTAGAACTATAAAGAACATAATGATATCTTGAACTAACGATTTCAATAATACACAGAAGGTATCAGATCCAAGAGATCCGGAAACATCTCCTGTTTGATAGGAAATATCGAATGTTCCAGGTTGTGCTTTATATGTTGAAGAAGCTGTTGAATTATAACGATGTTTTGCTTGACAGCCGTTTGCGCTATAATATGTGAACGTTCAGAGAGAAGAAGATGATAAATCAACCGCTTGGCGCAAAAAATTATGACAGAATGATTTCGTGGACATGCGTTTACGTGGAATTGACGTGAAAAGAGAGAAAAACTCACGCAAGAACTGCAGTCTTCGAGCAACAGCTCGAATCACAGAAAGTAATACAAGTGTCATAAGGGGTCTACAAAACGAGTACGATTGTAAAAAAAAATAATTTTGATGGTTTGTTTACATTTTTGCAATATGTTCCACAAGTTTTATCTTTTCCTGCGGCGCATTGTATATCCGGAACCCACAAGTTTGCAGATGCAGAATCAATGAAGTTAACAAACCTCTGAGGAGGTGTACCAAGAGTGATTTGAACTTAAAAAGATAATCAAACCAATTTTAGATAATTCAAACCCATGTAAGCCATATCCTCGTAATCTACCACCTGGGTAGTGCCTTGAGCGTCTTTAGTTGTTTGAACTCTGTATTCGGCTTTTTGTTTTAAATAGTCCTTCAACTCTCCTTTCATGTATAGTTGCATTTTCAGAGATGGAGTATAGCTATAAGAAAGGGCAGGTTTTATTTTCGAGATTGGTCAACTTACGATATTGGGATTTGATGGGCTAAGCATGCTGCTACAGATATGAAAAGGAGTATAAACCTAGTCATGATCTATAAATTAACACTAAAGCAAAGCTTTAATGAACTGAAACCTTTTGAAAAATTGATTATGGGGGGCTCAGGAGCTGCTTGATAAAGCCTTGCTGGAGATAAGAAACATCTATAACCATATGATGACATATGATTCTTTCCAGGTTATCATTTAATTTTGTTGGAAGAATGATTTCTAGACACATTTTTTGTTAATGTGGAGATAGGGAAAACAGCTGTACCAAGTTATGCAAATTGAGGCGTGGCGAAAGTTGAGATACAATTGATTGTTAATAGCACTTTTAGAGAGAGACGCTCATTATCATTACACCATCCTCTACATCATCGTCATGATCATCATCGTCATCACCATCACCATCATCTTCTTCATCATCTTCATCATCATCTTCATCAATACAATCTCTCCTCCTACACACAATTATAGTCCTTTCCGCTGAGAAATGTTTCGTTTAACTTTTTTTTTCATCAGCTTATCTGGTCTGTGCAGATTCAGCTGTTTCGTTTTAAAACAGTTGTTCAGTTATGAGAAGAATTTCATCTTCAGTCTGGTACGCTTGCACCCTTATCACCACATGCTTCTTTCCATAACTTGTTCAATTCTTCTCTTAGTTCTTCCTTTTCCTAATAATTCTTCATCATTTTACAGAAATATGTCCAGCAGAATACTTCGTCGTCCTGTCATATCATCCTTAACAGATATTTCCCGGAACTATAGTCCACTTCCAGTAGTCTTGAGTATGCTCTGCCTCACATCAATGTTTCTCTTCCAGGCTGATCCATTAGCACGTTTTCAAAAAATATCAGAAAATTGTCCTGAGAAACCAAAATTCCTCATAACAGGATCTCTTGGTCAACTAGGTCGAGGATTGAACACTGTGTTTAAGTCACGAGAGTATACTGGAAGCTAATAAACAAAAACGTGTTATAGATATATGTATGGCAATGACAGCGTGTTGATGAGTGATATAGTTAAAGTACCAGCCGACGCTGCAGATGTTAGTAAGTGGAAACTTGAAAATTAAATTCATCTGTACACATAGCTAACTTTCAATACATCGATATCTTGAATCAAGGAGCCATTGAGGAAGCCATTGTGAATCATAGGATTGACACTATAATACATTTCTCAGCGCTGCTTAGGTCTCTTTTTATCCCATTATTTCTGATTAATTATTTTATAGCGCCGTTGGTGAGCAGAACGTTCCATTAGCTTTGCAAGTGAATTGTCGAGGAGTTGAGAATGTTCTTGAAGCTGCAAGGTATTTAATTTCAAGTTTAAAAAAAAAGATGATGGGGTTGAAGCAAATGTCACATTTTGAAATATTACGCGTGATACCTTGAACTTCTGTTTCCAACAAAACACACGTGTTCTTCCCAATTACAATTTTTGCTATTCAGGAAATATCGTCTCAAGGTTTTCATTCCTTCAACCATCGGAGCATTTGGACCAACTACTCCTCGTGACAACACTCCTGATCTTACAATTCAAGTTCCGACAACTATTTACGGAGTTTCTAAAGTTGAGTCAAGTGATAATATAATACCAATGATTAACATTAAGGTTTATGCCGAACGTCTCGGCGAATATTATCATTCCAAATTCGGTTTAGATTTCCGTTGCTTGCGATTCCCTGGTATCATTTCAGCAACTAAACCGGGAGGTGGAACTACTGGTACTTCCGTTTTTCATTTCCTTTCATATTTCAAAATAGACTATGCCATCCAAATATTCTACGATGCACTCGAAAAGGGACATTTTACTTGTTACCTCAAGCCTGATACTGTCCTTCCAATGATGTATGATACCGATTGTATGGCATCAGTAGCTCAGGTTTTCGATCCCTATTAGCTGTCTTACAGTAACCTGTTTAGTTTCTGTCTACTCCTTCTGAAGCTCTCCCTTATCGAACTTACAATGTTACTGGCTTCAGCTTCACCCCCGAACAAATTGCTGCTGAAATAAGAAAACATATTCCGCATTTTGAAATTGACTACAAAATATGTCCAATTAGACAAGCTATAGGTATAATCAACAACACATGAATGCCTTCATGTTTATCTTTTAGCTGACTCATGGCCAAGATCTCTTGATGATACAGGTGCCCGACGAGATTGGGAATGGAACGTTGAATATAAACTTGAAGAAACAACACAGGTGATTAAATTTTTTCAAAATATTTTTGTTATTTTTAATAGGTTATGCTTGCACTCATTCAAAGGGACCTTAACAAGCAGCAAACATCTATGGCAGCATCAGCTTAAGCAGTCTATGAAACTATTTACCAGCCGTACGCGGTTTTGAGCTCTAGATATAAGAAATAAATCATTTCTTCTATGAACTAAGTCCTTTTACTCGTCTGAATCACAGAATGAAAAATTAAAGAAGCAAGCAGACAAGCCGTTGAGTGTAATGAAAAATAAGGAACTGAAACTTCTTGTTTCTCACCAGACAGACGCAGCCGCCGGCGACGTTATCAGTTTTTCGTTTAAAGATATTTTCAAGAGATAGTGCAATGTCTTTATGGTTTAAACATTGATGATGTTTCAATGATTTATTTGGAATGAGTTATTAGAATTTACAATTTCCAATATTGTAGATCATCAGTCGGCGAAGTTAATATTCCTGGCGGGGTTTTTTCTTACTTTACAGTTGTGGATTGTATTGGTTCTGCTGAAAATGTAAAAACTAAATAAATAGCTCTCTGGTTCCTACTTGGTAAGCTTGTCCTTGGTTGTAGTTTGGAGCATTTTGGTAATCCATTTGTGGTGTATTAATTTGGCCGCCATTTTGTCCGCAAGATTGAGAGCTGCATAGACAAGGAGCCTAGAAGAAGGATGAAATAATTTAATCACTGTTTCTAACTCACAGGAGGAACTTGAGGCATAGTAGGTGATCCAGGGAAGGCTTGTCCATTGCCGAAAGGTAGTGAAGAGAAAAGGTTGTTCATCCATTGGCCCATCTTTAAGAAAATTCAAAACTATTTCTATTGTAGTCTACTCACGTAGCTGTTGAAATCACTCATGTATTGATTCCATTTTTGACGATACTGCTGAACTTGTTGCAACTCGTTGGCAGTTGCTTGTCTTCTTTGACCGTTTTCGGTTACATATCCATCCTGAAGAGACCACTGTTGTGCCAAACAAAAGAGGTAAAGCTTACTTGGAAAATACAGTTTCCGTTTGTAAATGTATACTGATTGATGTTTACGGCTGTCTGACCGTTCATGACCGCTGGACCAGAGATAGCAGAGTAGTCTAAACAAAATATACTCAATAGAAGTTTTTCTCCAAAAAAAAGGGGCTCAAGCTCTAGCTTGTCATTCTACTAACTATTATTGCCTTGTTGATTACTAGGATCTTGATACTGAGTGTTCATGCTTGGCAGTCCATTGGAGTTCTGCTGATTATATCCATATTGTCCGTTCTGTACTTGATTGTAACTTGGCTGATTAGAGTTAACGGATTGCCCGAATTGGTTCTGATCATATTGTGGTGAAGCGGGATTTTGCTGTCCGTACTGTTGATTCTGATTAGTCTGTTGATAGTTTTGGCCGCTTTGCTGCCCGTACTGTTGATTTTGATCATTCTGCTGATAGACCTGCCCGCTTTGCTGTCCATATTGCTGATTTTGATTATTTTGTTGATAGGTTTGTCCATATTGGCCATACTGTGAACCACTGTTCTGATTTTGCTGTTGTTGTTGCTGATACTGATTGTTGTTATATTGCTGTTGACTATTCTGGTTGTTACCACTCATTGGCATATTTTGTGTGTCATCACGATACACTAGTGTTGGAAATGACGTTGTCATTCCAGCGTTAGATGCTGTCGAATAGCTTGGATACGGAGTTGATGAAGGCATGTTCTGATTGTTCCCATATGGACCCTGGGTTGACGATTGCATGTTCTGATAGTTTCCATAAGGAGCCTGGGTGGACGATTGCATGTTCTGATAATTTCCATAAGGAGCCTGGGTTGATGAAGGCATGTTCTGATAGTTCGTAAAAGGAATCTGTGTCGAACCGATCGGGTCTCGCATAACTTGGTTTGAGCTCATTTGGTTATTATTATTATCTTGATTATTGCCGGAATAATAAAACTGTGAGGATTGAATAAACTGTCCATTTTGATCTTGACCAACTATAAAGAAGAATTGATCAATTGAACTGGTTGAAGGGGTGAAAGGGTTGTAATGGGAATAATCTCAACGAACTATGAAGTTTCGAAACTGGATTCAGAAACGATATTGGTGATGATCAACTATCTTATGTCTCCATTCTCACCTTGTGCTGTTTGCTCAATGCCGTTTGTCATCTATTTGTCATGGTAACTCAAAGCTGGGTTGACTGTTACAAACTTCAAGCAAATAATTCAGTCGATCACTGTTCTTACTGTTTTGCCTCCTTCACAAATTATTCGCCAAATAAGATATGCTGGTGTTCGTCTTCATTATATGATTCGAACTAATTCTTTGAGATTGTAGAGTTTAGTAGAATGACATGTTAGGTTATAAGAAAAACAGATTGAAAACCACTTACATTGTTGTTGATGGGAGAATTTGACGAGTAAGAGTACGAGTACAGTTTGTAGCTTCATATCGAGATAACAGCGAATTACTCAACGGTAATTTATTGTGTGTAAAAGAGGGCTGAATGACTTTTATATACTAAGTGACAGGTGGGAAGGGCAAGCATGGATTGTAGGAGGAGCACATTATATCTCTTCATGTTTTCATACTCTCTCGTAACGGTGGCGAAGTACGGATTGATGATTACTATTCTGCTCCTCCTACCTTCACTAATACATCGTACGGAGGGAAGTTCTGAATGTGCAGATACAAAAAGACAGAAAAGAGAAGAGATGTTTGAGAGACACACGAGACGTAGAAAACATACAAACGAACTTCGTAAATAACAGTATATTTGAGAAAATTGGCAAGGTGTATGAGGACGGTGCAGAGTAAATCTTTGATTTTCTCTTTTCCAGATTATCAAAAATTGAGAATGTTGATTAAATTTAACACATAGCATATGAGTCAGTGTTTGCTTTGGATCAATCCAAACTCTTTTCAGATTACTCAACAAATGAAGAAACCCAGATCACTCGAGTTAGTTTCGATACTTCTAACCTTGATCCCTGAATCAGAACTTATGTCAACAACATGATTACTCCAACGATCATAACCAGTAGACATTATGCACAACCGTTCTGCACGTCGCAAACTCATTAAAATGAAGTTTGGCGCTTTTTTAAACTTCAGTATGTAAATTTCTGCGACTCTTAAAAGCTTATTCTCAGCGCTCACATTGTTTACTCTCAGATTTCCCGTTGGATCTGAACTACAAATCGCTGCTAAACTTGTTTCTATTTGAAAAAAAAGAAAGAGTTAACTTCGAACAATGTTTATCTAAGCATAATATTCACAGTACATCCATGATTTTATGTCTTTTACACTACAATACTAAATTTTTAGTGTCCTCCAACCTCAACTTCTCCCTCCTTCTTCAGGGGATTGTACTTGTGGAAGTATTCCTTGTCTGCGTTCTTCTGTCTGATTCCATACCAATGCTCAACCTAATATGGAACTAGTGTAAAAGCTAAATGCGAATCATTACCTCGTGGTGGTGATGGTTCTCATATCCTTGGGCATACTGGATATGATGGCGAGGTTTAACTAAAACAATAATCGTAGTATCACATAAGGATGAGTAACAATGTATTTGAGGAAAAAAACTCACGAGGAAGGACAAATTTGTACACTCCATAGAGAATGACACCGGAATAAATGTAAAAACGGAATACTGGAAGATACTTCCAGCAATGGCGCCATGACCACATACGAAGCTTTAAAAAATACAATACAGAACGCTTGCTAGCTTAACTCACATATTCCTGGGCAGTCCATGGTCTAGCCATCATACGTGGGTGAAGCTCAGATGCTGGAACTGGGGCATTGGTAGCTGCAACAGCCTTAAAAGAAAATAAATATGTACGCAAACTAATTATGGAAATTTACCTTTACAGCTCCACAAGCTGTTTCTGCAGTCCACTTCGCAGCTTCAAAAACCTTGGCGACTACCATAACTACCTTAAAACGAAAGCTAACTCAATGCAGAGAAAAAGATGTTCAGTTTAACATATTGGGTAAACGTTCAGGTAGCTTTCTGACAATTCTTAAACTCGTTAAGTTATAATAAACTTTCAAAATAAACATTATAATTTACAAGACATAAGTGATAAGGCCGCCCGTTTGCAATTCCTCACACAGAAAATAGCGTGCTGAGACCAATTTTTTCGTAGACCTTTACCCAAGAGTGTAGACAAGACGGCAAGTTGCCATAAAAATGTTTTGAATAGTGTTATCACTAGCTTGACGCTTTTGCATTTGAATAATTTTTGAGTTTTATTATAATTCCTTTCTCTAACTATTTTAAATTTCCATCACGCCTTGATACTCAGACTTAGAATAGCCTGTTATTACTAGTAAGGTTCGGTCGTTCTAATAGAATTTCATTTTTAGGTTAAATTCACGCAATGATCGGTTGCTTCTGGAGAGAAGTGCTCAAGCTATTACAGCTAATGTGCCAGAATGAAAGCATGACGCTCGTCAATATCCCAATTCTTCACTACTGCTGCCACCCTCCCCCATTTGTCTGCTACTCAGCTACACAGCACATCGATCTTCAGCTGCATGTTCCATGGCAGCGAGCAGAGGGTTTTCGCTTCAAATAGAGATAAGGTTGGTTATATTCATTACTCTCATTGCCATTACGAGTAAGTTGAGTAATTTGAATTTGGCGCTTAATGAGTTGGAGTCAGTTGTTCAGCTACAACGATTGATGATACATACATGAAACATCCTTGTTACCCACTGTAGTATATATATATTTATTTATTTATTTATAGGGAAAGTAGTACCGAACAACCTATTGCTTTCAAAGTGGACGGTGAACGATTTGACGGAGGAAATCGTACGTTGAAGTTCTCAGTCAATACCACGTATAAGATAAATTTGATTTTCAAACCAGCAGTAGAAATAAAGTCGGTGTACCCATACTTTTTTTTTGGAAAATACGATATTTAAGCTCATTCAATCTTGGAGGTTCATTACTTGAACTGGATTCAACAAATTCGAACTATGGACAGTATACAGCAGTTTGGAACTCAAGTGGGGTGAACTGTTGTAAGAAAGGTTGTCGAGAGAACATAAATCTGATACTACAAGTATGAAAGATAAGCGAAACGAATTTCAAAAAGATTTTGTTCAGGGACCTGATGGAGTTTTGAAAAAACAACTTCAATGTAAATTCTACAGAAAGGAAGACACCCATGTCAGCTGGGGATCAAAGCTGAATTCAATGGATTGGACGTGTGCCATTATTGATTCTAGTATTTCCGTAGTTGACGAGACTTTCAAATAGCAAGTCGATGTTATGTCTAATTCAATTCATCTCATTGGGCTCTTATATCTCAAGTTTCAAATGGCTATAATTAACCCTCCGTTATGAAATGTTGCGATTGAGCCGCAGGCTTGAACCCAGCTTGATCCATTCAACTTTGGCTTTATAGCTACCCGGGATGGAAATCAATCATTGTTGGTGTCATCTTTTTGACAATTACTTAAACTCATGTTATCATCATTGACCCTATCCCGAAATTGAAACTGTCTATGTCTGTTTCTGGAGAAATATTGATCTCTTTCTCACATATGCTCTAACTATGAAGATGAAATGAACAACTGCTGTAGTCATGAAAACCAGAAAAGTCATGAAGTTAAGATGCTCTCTAAGCCTAGAACCGAGAAATCTGAAACATGGGAGGCAAAAGCGAAACGATTTCTTTCTATCAGTCTTCTTTTCATTTCTAGATACACTTAGGTTGACATTGTTTCAGAGTAAATCAGACTTTAGATAGCTACCATAACGAACAAGTTGCTGTTAATCTCACTCTCACTGTTCAAGATGTCATATATCACATGAGTAACAGAGTCTCTCGTTTTCTTCTCCATAAACAGTTGAAAGTTCGATGTGAGAGTTTTTCTGGTAACAAAGTCATACGGGGAGAGAGAAGAGACTATGGTTCTCCAACGATTGTCTCAAGTCAACAGAAGCGTGTCGATAATGAAGAATTTTTGAAATTACATTTTTGAATTACGAAAACTTGTTCGGACGTGAGGTTAAACTGGCGATCATCCAGTAATCAAGGAGCCTAGGGTGTCGAACTTAACAAATTGTATGACGGATAACTAACGTACAGATTCACAATCTGATTGCATGGTCGATTGTAATTTTCACAACAAGCGAATAACAGCTGTTTCTATCAAACCTACAGATAAGATTATGCATAGAATGAAATGTCGCAGACAACCTGTTTTGGATAGACTTATCGTACGTCGACAAACGACCTTCAGCCGAGCCATCTTTTCTTGTCTCGTCTACTCACGTAGTTCTTCTTAATCTTCTCAATATAGTCGATTCATGTAATTTATCACAAATTATGAACTAAATTAATCTTAAGAGGGAAAGGAAGAGGAACATTAAATAGTTATTTTATGAAATGCCTCGTCTTATTTAATTTGTTTCAGCCCCACAGCTGAACAAATCATCTTGCGTCCATTTGTTTCTCGGAAAAATTCCACACAAATGCTTTTTTTCCCACACAGTTCTACGAATCGAGTTTTGATTTTGCAGAATGAAGTATAAGGAACTACCCTACGTTAAACTGAATGGAGCTGATCTCGATGGTGAAGTTAGTTTTTTCAAAATCATCACTCAGAATCAGTTCAATAAATCAATTGGTTATATTGTTAACACACACACTCTCTCTCTCTCTCTCTCTGCTAGTTCCATAGAGCCCACAGAATGCCAATAAAAGCCAACGATGATTATATTAACGGATAGCATGACCCCATCATCAAGTTGTTGAGTTAGTCCGTACTCAGAAGCCTGATGTGATATAGGTCGTCACGAGAAAAATGCTCATCTGAGAGAGAGGTTGACAGTATGACTTTGAAGAGAACACCAGGCTACTCATTTCTTGTTTTGGCTTCAGTAATACTTTCCATTGTACTCAACATTTCGACCATTCATAATTTTAAATGATTTAAGGAAGTGCCATTTCGATCGCGGAAAAGTAATCATAAGTGTCTATTCAGAAAGCACGCTAGCATCAGTTGTGAGGTATGAATTTTTCGTGTGCAATTTCGCGTCTATAAGCTTTTATTGTTTCGTGTCTCGTTCCGCAATTGTTCATAACATATCTTTGAGGTATTGAATCGCGTTGGGAGAGAAAATGCAATGAATGCCCAACCTCGATCGGATTCAACAGAAACTAATCGCAACAGTTAGTCAGCTTCTTTTCTTTCTTCACTAAGGCTTATTCTGTTCTAGATTACTTACACACAGATGAATTTCACGGTGATAGACCCGGTACTAGGTTGACTAGGAACTCTTTTTCATGTGGAGCAACAAGAGAAGGTATTTGTAGAATTAGCATAACGTAGTTCTAAAAGCATGTTGTATAGAAGGCTCGGATGCACCTTCGATTGATATGCAAGCAAAATGTTCCATTGAGAAACAAAAGGGGAAGGAAACGAAGGTGGGGAAACGTTTGTTATTAACTGATTCATATGTATACATTCATGTTTAGATATATGAAGTGGTTTATCATTACAAAAAGGCGAGAGAAGATGAATTAGATTTAGCTGAAGGAGATACTGTTCGTCTCTTGACTGAAGAAACGTAAGTTAACCGTCTACTTTTTACCAAGAAGGCGAACCTCATTTTGTTTAGAGGAGAAAAGGATTGGTGGTATGGAGAGAAAGAGGAAGGTGTAAAGGGCCTCTTCCCTTCCCAATACGTTAACTTGATTGGTTCGTTTCTTTACAACCTTTGTTACTGAAACTTCGATGTTCAGGTCAAGAGGCTCGGGAAATTCCTGCCGGGGAGATTGAGCTTATTACGGGAGATTCGTACTTAGGCCGAGGTGCCTTCGCAACTGTAAAAAAAGTTTTATACAAATCGAAAGAAGCTGCTTTAAAAAAGCCTTCGAGAGCAGAATTTTTTAATAGTATGTCTTGACGATGTATATGATCTAATAGTCTGTTTAGCTTTGAAAAAAGAGGCCTTAATGATTAATCGTTTCAAACATCCTCATATCGTCGAGCTTTATGGAATTTCAACTGTTGACCCTCAAGGGCTAGTATTAGAGCTTTGTGAAGGTATTTTTCATTCATTGTGTAATTCAAATTTTGGCAATTTATAGGCGGATCACTGAAAAAGCTATTGAATGATCTGAAATCTAGATTTGTGTCTATTAGAGTGCTCGTGGAATGGGCTATTCAAATGTCTGATGCTATGAAGTTTGTCATCCAAGCTCATTGTATTCATCGAGATCTGAAAACTGATAACATACTGATCAAGGAAAGTATTTGTCTCTGTAACTTGTTAACAGCTTCGCGAAACACCATTCTCACAGAAGAGTTTTACAATTTGTCAGACGAATTGGTAAGTCTCAGCTTATGGAAATCTTCCAAAAATTTTTCTTTGAAGGATAGGCCTCAGTGTGATTGCGGGAGAACTCCTCTTTCAAGAGTAACGTTGAAACTAACAGATTTTGGATTGACCAAAGCTTCCAGAGAAGAAGATGAACTTAAAAGGTTTTATTTTAATTTGTGTCTGATTGACCCAGTATTTCCAGGCAAAGCCAGAACATTGTAGGAACGTTAGCATATTTAGCTCCAGAAGCGTTTAGTAAACAGCAGTACTCTGAAGCTTCCGATGTTTGGAGTTTTGGAGTTATACTTTGGTCTATCTTTACAAAAGAGGAGCCGTACAAAGATTCAGAAATGATTTGTGCTTTTGAGGTGATCTATTTCTTTGTTTCATGAACAGTAGTCATGTTACTAAAAATAGGTTGCAACAAACGGCATGTCATCATTAGAGATTACTGACGAATGTCCGCAGCAGTGGAAAGATATCATTCTATCTTGCTGGCACGTAAGTGTCTAAATCCGTATTTGTTTGGTATGCATGTCATATAGGCTCTCCCTCCGTCACGTCCGAGCTTTGCCGATTTGAATGAAAGGTTTAGTCTATACAAGAACAACTTACAAGCAGACGATATCACGGTAGACTTCATTTTCTTAGTTTTGTAACCATTGAAAACTCTTGCAGCATGCCGAAGAAGCCACGGTACATAAGGCTCAACAAGCAGTTGCCAATTTCATTAGTCGAAGCAGCATCAGGTGAAATCAAGCTTGGATACGAGTAACAGTTTGTTCATTCTAGTAGAGAGAATCATTCAATCAAAGATAAGATGGAAAGCAAGCTTCTAGAGATTAGTAAGATTATCGATCAAGCAACCTCTGTACTTGACAAGGTCTGTTGTTCCATTAGATATTTGTACGTATGCTAATTCCAGAAGGATAAACAGGATAAACTTCCCTTCCAGTTACCAAGGAGGAAGAAAATTGACAAAAATCAAATAGGAAGTCCAGAAAGTGAGAACATGCTTGTGAATTTTTTCTAATTGTTTTGTTTTAAGAACTGAGACATTTGTACTCTGTTATCAATCCAGATAATCGAGCACAGCCTAGCCGAAATGCGGAAAATGTTATAGTCAGTGAGTTTTACCTCTTTCTTTTTTGGTGTTAGAAGAAACTGATTGTTGTGACGTGTTCTCTTTGAGTTCCGAATGGAGCGGGCCATTGGAAATCAAATGCAAAGTTTTCGAACAGTTCTCCTCAACTCAATATGTTGGGTACCGAACCACATTCTTTGAAGCGCTCGGATGCTATCAAAAGACGCATTGGAGGAAAGCATGGGTTAGAAACAGAGTTTGCTTCAGTGGAAATTGCTGCAAATGGTCAGTGTTGTGACGGTGTTTTATGATTGCATGGTTATCACTAATTGCGCTCTGCCACTTCCAGATGATATTGCAAGTTGTTCGAATGCTGATAGAATTCCTACCCTCGTTAATTCACCACCGCGAAGGAACAGTCCAACTAACGCAAATGTTAGGAGAAAGTTTGTCAATCCTTCCCCCCATGGAACATTTGGAGTGGCTAATGTACCTATCGTGAGTAACTTTCTTCAACAATTCTCACCCTAACGTTTCAGCGTCCGGCGCCTAGGCCCAACGTTGCTGCTCCTAGGAAACATCGAGAACTAACATTGAACGACGCTATACCCCCGAGCTCGTATAATCATAACAATACAGGTAAGCATAGTGTTCAAATGATATTCATGAAAATCTGAAACTTGCAGGCGATCGTTACATCCCGTTACATTCTGAACCTTATGCGTTAAATACAATCCTGCCAAAGAAGCCAGTAGAGCAAACGAATATATCTATGTCACCGCCCACGCACTCTGCTCCAAACTTTACTGTAGGTTTTCGATCCGAGATTGTTTCAACAGTCTATCTTAAGTGCGGACCTTCTACTATTATTCCTCTACCGAGTACTCGTCCTGCTGGTCAAGATGAGAATCCATACTTCGATTGTGGAGATGCCCCGCCTGGTGTTCATCGAGTTGTCAATAATACCTATTTAAATGTGAGTTCATCTTATAGAGACATCGCGAATCAACATTATACAGACTTCCGCAGCCACTAGTCATACTCCTGTAATTAATCCTCATTATATTTGTTTCCAACCGGTAATGCATCTTCGAGAATTCGTTGTTACAACAATGTTTTAGGTTCCTAACAAACGTCCTTCGAATCTGGAGAACCGAAGGGTGACGTGAGTTTTTGTATTAAACGGTAGAGCTGTGATTGTTAAATTACAGTCCGATAAATAATTCTGCATACGTATCATTAGCTGATCAAGCTCCTCAAACTATTGCTCCACCACCACCACCAACCCAGTCGGCGATCTCACCGCCCGTTATACCTCCAAGGGAAGGAACTGTAGGACTGTGAGTTAGGCTTATCACATAGGAACCTTACGATCAAACATTTTAGACCACCAGTTCGTCAAGTCGCTTCTTAGATTTCGATTGGGTTCTTAGAGCTCCAACTATCTTACGAGTTCACTTCATGCGTTTACATGCCGCACAATACAAATTCTGTTACATCTTTCGACTAGTCTGTTCATTTCGTATTAAAGTTTTATTTATATGCTCGATACTGAACGAGGTATTACAATTTTATTATGCAGGAATATATCCAGGGGGCAAAGGAGGCAGTACATGAGCTGAAAGGTGTTGACCTGCTGAGGAGGCTTGCACTGGCTGGGGTGGAAGTACGCTGGCAGACCCGCTCGAATCAGGAGCATACTTTACTACACTATCCTTATGTTTTGCGGGACTAATGAAAAGAACAGTGCAGCAAGAAAGCTGAAGAGGAAGATAGAAGGGTTAATCTTCAGTCAACTTACGACAAAAATGAATAGTCCAACGAGAATAAGACCTCCTGCTATTCCGACTAGCCACTTCCACCACTGTCGTTTCTCTGAAAATTGAAATGACTCAAGATAGGAGAATAATGACTTACTCGTCTGTTTCTCTTTAGGTTCGTCAGGTTCAGACGGGGGCTCTCCACTGCCATATACATTAGTAGTTGTAGGCTAGTTAGTACTTAAATATACAAAAGAAATAATTAATACTCACTTTGCTTGTAGATGTTGCCGTAGAGCCTCCAGCAGTCGTAGAGCTTCCGGTTAGCGTGGAAGAACCTGAAGTAGTAGAAGCTCCGGTACTAACAGTGGTTCCAACACTGCTCAATGTAGAGCTCGTACTACCCGTAACCGCAATAGTCGATGCAATAGAAGAAGTGGAAACGGGAGTTGTAGACAGGGAAGAAGATGTTGTCGATGACGAGGATGTTGTCGATGATGAGGATGTTGTGGTTGTTAATACCGTCGTAGTAGTTAACCTTAACTAACAGAGAATTGCAGAGCTTAAAAGGGACTAACGTGGTGTCAAGCCAGACATAACAAAGAGGAACTAAGTAAAGGTCAGGCCTGAGAGGAGGATATGAGTATGAATAAGCAGACTCATTCAGCTCTGGTCCTTTGTCTGCAGTAGACACATAGTAGTCTGTAAAGCTCTTCATTTAGTTTATCAGTATGAGTACATACCATTTGTATCGTTGCTTTTGTACAAGTACAGAGGTGTGGTAGCTCCACAATCTCCTGAGTTACTAACGCAGTAGAAGATATTGTAAGGTAATGCTTCATAACCGTCCGAAATCCAGTAAGGCACATGCTCATTTGCTGCTTGACTTACAGAAGCTGAAGCATACATAATCATATATTGAGAAACTAAGTAACCGTACTTTTGCCATCTAACAACGATGTCTTAACTAAAGTTATGACACTTTTTGTACAGGAACACTCAGCGCTACTATCAGTAGTTAGAGCTGTAGCTTCCAATTGGTAAGCGTATCGAACTTGTAACCCGATCGAAGTGGCATACGTTTCGAAGTCAGGATGAGGGGACAGAGCGTGTGTATAATTTTCTGCATAAAAGCTGTAAGTTTAGGTGCATTGGTTAAACGTACCATATCCCGGATCTCCAGCGGAATACAAAACGAGTGGCTGCAAACCTTGTGTTGCTAGAAAGGAAAAGAGTTATTTGATTTGAACACAACCGCTCTCTGCGCCATTGAATGGAGAAATAAACTTGAATCAGGGAAGAACGAAACGCGCAGCCCAAGGTATGCTAATTAGAATATTGACTCACGTTTGTTCGTGCATTGAGCGCTTGCTTCTAATAAGAGATAAACTAGAGCAATGCCAAGTGATTGTTGTTTCATTTGAACTCGGACTTTTTTGAAAAATGAGGCAAAAAGCAGGGAAGAAGGGTCTTTGGGAATTTGGTAACTAGGTCGTCTCTTAGGAACTACTTCAGTGCTTTTTCGCAACGAAGAAACAACAATAGAATATTTTTTAAACATAATATATATGCTTCAGGGTGAAGGGGATGCCGTCAACTATCTACTTTCTCATGACTTACCGTGATATGAAGATGCCATAGTGCTCTGCTAATCTTCACATTTCAACCTTGAAATCAATAGGGATTCGAACGGATCCTAAGGATACTACAAACAGAAAACTTTTAGCAGGATCTGCAGAAACACACTAACTTGAAGCATCTGATTGCTGAACAGCAGCACATTTTCTCTTTCCATCTCTTCTTAATCCAGAGGAGGGGGTAACCAAATTCTCACTTTTTCCAGATTTGTGTAGTCGTGAGTGGGCCTATGATTGAAAGTGATTACGAATAGAGTATTTGTTTTTACTCTCATCGATCCTTTCGTCGTAAATTGTTTCTCGCATGTATGACACTCAATTTTAATATTCTCATGTGTTCTCACATGATCCTGAAAGTAAAGTAGAATCCGTCGAATTGAAGTTCCTGCTACCGCAAAATGCGTTGGATGTTGATATGATGCTGTGCAGGTATAACAATGGAAGAGGAAAGCTGAAGTTTGACACGAAACCTCATGCCTGAATCTATTGAACTTCCGATTGAAAGACTTGAAACAATTCTAGAACAGTGCTTATATCAGTAGTATTGGCTCATTGTGAAAGTACCTTACAAGTGTAATACTCAACATCTCCCAATAACGAAGCTACTGTTACCTTTTTTCTTTTTTTGGTAAGGCTTTTTGTTTGAGTATTAAAAGGAAGCGCGATTATTCTTGTTCTGGGGAACTGAAAACAATTCTGTCAATCTATATTACAGGAGCTTTACTTGAACTTGTGGCTGAGATGTGGATGTACAAGTATCAGCTATGTCATCCTCTGATGTAACCTCAACTATTTTCAGAGTCGGAGGGCATGGAAGACTGAAACTGATTGTGGAGTTGATGGTTAGCTTTCTGTACCTTATATGTGATGACTGGACTCTTAGATGTGGAATAACTGATCGCAGGAAAGTTTTGCAGGCTTCACGAAGAAGCGACTTGAGTATAGTAGAGTCAAAATTGAACTTCCAATCTTTGAAGTTCCTGTAGCGAAAGCTAATGCAAATTGAAAATGCATAAACTACCCACCCGGTTTTGAGCGAAAGTTCATATTTATCGCCAAGTAGTTTCACAACATCTATACAAATTCTGGAGTGATTCGGTTTGTTATAACAGACTAAGCGATTATCCGTTGACATACTGAAAGAGACAAGTGTGACTTCAGCTCTAGATCTTCTGGTATCCTGGTTAATTACCTCACGAAAACATCCCGAGTACAAAATAAATATTTATCTAATCCCACTCTAACAACACATGTAGTATAATGCAACAATCATCGATATTAATCATAACACAGAAAAATAAACCGACTGGACATTCATAAACATGATAAAAAAAAACTAAGAATGGTCAACATGTTGAAAAATTGAAGAGGAAAATCAAGAAAAAAAGAAAACATAGCTTAAATCACAGAGATGAGAATCGAATCTATGCCAAGTAAGTGAATAACTGACAAGTAGAAGCAGGAAAAGAAATTCTCAGAATCTAGACAAAATTGGAGTGGGAACAATCAAAATCGTCTTGAAAGTATGAAGACCACGAAACTCTGTTTACCATTCAGCTTCTCCAGTACATTTTTGGAAACAATAGTCACGATTGTCGATATGCATGATTCCATCTTTCAGTTGGAATTTCCACTTAGAACGAGCTCTATGTACCTTTTCGAATTGGCACATAATTACATTCTCAGCATCGAATAAGGTTTCTAAATCTTCATCATCACTTTGATCATCGCCAGAATTTAGAGGATCTTCCTCAGTCACCTAAAAATAGTCAGTAAAATGGAATTACTTAAGATATTCATGCATTTTCGCCATCCTCAATATTGGCGTCTCCAATATTGGCAATTGAGCTGAGAGGATCTTCATCCTCATCATCACTCGAGGAATCAGACATTCCCCCACCTCCATCCAATTGCAACAACCCCAATTGACGTGCAACTTTTTCTGCTTCTTTGCCTACAATGGTCTACAATAGAATTTTCGTTCTGTCTTGACGATACTCACGTGATTTGTTGGAACGTTCCTTTTTTGACTTACTCGTAGAGGCTTTCAGTTCTTTCTGCATTGATTTTTTGGTTACTTGTTTTCGAGACTTTACTCACCGTAGACAACACACGATCTGAAGTACCATCGACTTGATGGATTTGTTGAGGAATAACTTGGCCTGGGTTTAACTGAACTCTTTGTTGACTCATATTTGGGCCCATAGCAATAGGAATTTGTTGGCCTACAAACCTTCACATGAATCGGGAAGATGTATGTTTATGCTTACCGTTATTGGGAATGAACATAACGCTTGCATTGGTGGTATTAATGTATTGAGGCAATTGACCGCCAATTGCAGGGACCATGCGAACTTGACTAGGAAAAGGTACACTACCGATTTGATTAGTCTGAATTGCATGCTGGAAAATTGAGGTTAAGAGATGTTTGTATCACTGACAACCTGTAGTTGTCCAATATTCTGTTGTTGTTGCTGCTGCTGTTGCTGTTGTTGCTGTTGTTGTTGATGCTGTTGCTGCACAAACTGCCCAACAGTTACAGGTCGATTTTGAACATCTAGATGAGGGGGCAGCTAGAAGGTATGCGTACGATGAGTTTTCTCTATTCTAAGACTAACGATATGAGGTTGAACTCTGGTAGGAGCTGGGATAGCAACTCTTGCCGAAGGTGCATTAGGCTGCATGGTACGTATATTAGCCGGAGGGACATGTTGAGTATGAGCAGGATGACGAGTATCCATATCAACACATCCACTTGAATTCACTTTCTCCTCCCAATCCTAAGAGTTATACTCAAACTATCATTGACTTCTATTGATTAATAACCTTTCGCAATTGGTTCAAAACATCAACATCGACGTTTTCATCGAGGAAAGCTTCCTTTACCTGATTAATCACATCATTTATAACTCCTTTATAAATATCAGCCTAGAAAAGAAATACATATGAGAATATGAAAGCTTACAAACGTACAATAGCGTGACCCTGACTTTGCTGAGCCATTTTTTAAATAATGCTAAACGTAAATCAGGAGGCGGCAGTTAGCGATTTTTCGGTCTAAAAAGACAACATGTTTTCTCGTTTTTTTATAGGCATTATTTGTAACCTCCATTTCAAAATTTTCATTTGTTTGTTTAAATTATTAATTTCTTCAGATACATATCAACCAGCTACCCAAAAACTATAAAGATACACTCACCCACACGACGAAGAAATGGCGGCCAACTGAGTATATATACGCAATGAGCGAGTGACGTCACTGCGTGCGCTAGGCGGTTTTGTTTGATTCGCAGGTGGGCGGAGTTTGGCAGACAAATAAAATGTCTGTCACACAACAAGAAGATAAGTCTTAGTCGAACAGTACAATGCATTTGGGGTCTGTAGATATGCTTATTCGTTTGTTAGATTCAAAGGACTTTCAGCAATTTTATTAACCAGAATGTGCACAGGAAAATCAATTCTCTCAACGATCTCAGGATGGTCAACGAAACGAACATTAGACAAAAATAAAAACGTCGAGTAGCTAATGATGAGGTTTACTAAGATATGATGAACAAGGAATGCAGTTTCCGTTTACTTCCAGCCATATTCTCTGACGGTGTCTTGAATAATCGCCTTCAATCTGTCGTACATCTCGCGAATTCTCTGATTTTGTACTTCAGGCGACCCGACTCTTAAAACAGTCGAGTGCGACCACATGGAGACAGCGAATGTTGTCAATGAACAAGTGAATGGAAGAGTTTTCACATAATCTGCCTGAAAAGGTTAGTTTAGCAGGAATTGCGATAATATCGCAAACTTTGATTTCTTCATAAGTTAAATCCATTTTTTCAGCATAATACCTCAAAATGGGTTCTTCCAATTTATGTCTTTGTTCAACTGTACAGCATGTGGCCAGAATCCGAAGTAAATCACCTGTCTAAATAATATTCAATTGCATATTTTGAGTTTAGGGAGGTGATTACATGAGATCCAGCATGACAGAGAGCCCAATCAACGATTCCAGTAATTGAATTACCTTTCCATAGAATTTGTGGTGCCCATAAATCACCATGATTGAACAATGAATTCGGGTCTGGAACTTGGGTAAGTGAACGCTAAGTTGATGTTGCATCTTATACCGTTTTCAGCAGCTCTAAAACTTTTGAACATCCAGTTGATATCATGCATGTAATTTCGAACCAAGATATCTAGCCATTCTGCCAAATCGGGGAAAGCTTTTTTAGTCGTTTCATTCATAGTCAACATAGTTCCACAGAATTCAGCGTTATAAGCTTCGTCCTCCTTCATTGATTTAATTATTTTGAACGATAAGAGTAGAAAACCTCGGCCATTTTGAATAATTTTTTCCAGGGTTGCTTAGTTGTTTGAGACCACTTATGTAGCAGAATTAATTGGTCCACAATTGCATAAACCTTAATTACTAAGTTTGAACTGTTCCTTTTTCATATGGTATCACTTGTTCTTCGTTGAAACCTTCAACAAGGTCTACTGTAGTGGAATCGGCAATGTCTTCTAGAACTAAAACTGGGCATCCACTCGCATATGTTTTGTAACCGTATAGTTTGGGAACGAGAAATTCATGTTCTTCTGTAATGAGAGAGTTACTGTTCATCTCATTTCTATAAGATTTAAGGGAACAACCGTACTCTATCTACGCATAGTAATAAATGATAATTCTCAGGTCACTCTGATTTGAAAGCGATTATGCTAATTAGATAAGAGCGGGAAGCTTCACAGTAGCAATGAAAGAATTTACCTTTTTGGAACATTGTATACGACTTCACTTCGTTCTCATGCATTATGCGGTGAATAGGGTCCTCTTCTGGTTGAACATTATTCGAAGAATCATCTTCTTTGTGTCCACAAGCTTTCCACGTCTCTTCTGCTCGGAATGGACTGGGAATCTGGAATGATAAGCAGTATTAACATCGTGAAAGTTCATGCAAACGTGAAGCAAGTTGAAGTTTTTTTTGGATTGATAACAAAAGATCAGAGATCTCTATCGTTCTTTTTATCTCAAATTTGCAGTGAAACTGCGGATTGGTATACATTTCCACATAAGGAGCAAAAAAACAATGATACAGACTACAATTTGCCTACCCTACCTTCACAATTGCTGTTTTCGGAAGGTCTCCGTTGTTTTCCGGCCATGATAAATGAATTCTCGTGATAGCTGACATATAACCCAACACAGTATCGCCTAGGACGGAAACCTTGAAAGGGCAAGTGAACTAATGAAACTTGGTCGAGATGGAATAGATTACCTTTTCAATAGTGGGTTCACTACATGTTTTAAAAAAATTTTTCAGTTGCTCTGCTACCCATGATTTTGAAACCAAGAAGTCATCAATAAGTCTATCTTCCATGCTATCGAGATGAATGAATGAACAACGTATTACTCTAAGTGGTAAAGGTGAGTCTCTATATATATATATACATTCACATTCTATTCACAGGGTCAAACAAGAGACATTGAAACGAAAAGAAATGACAGTCAAGTTTTCATTTGAAAAGGAAAAGAACAACGTGTATGACCTGAGGAGTGCAAAGAAGATTCTCCGAACTTAAATCAAAGAGTTACTGGCACTTACAAGCAATCGGATAGGAAAACACTTATACCCGACTAGAACTGATAAACTACAAATCAGGTACTAAATAGGATACCTTACTCCAAAAACTGATAAGAGGTCTAGCTGATATGTACCTCTGCGTATGATAGTTAGGGTCATTTTGCTTCAAATTTAGTAGTTTCCATGATCTTTGCTTCCTTACGCGCTTGCTGAGCATACTTATCTTATCATCGGCGAGTTCATGATACGAAAAGGTTTTTTTTTGATTTTTTTTTATAAAAAAAAACTGCATGCGCGTTGTAAAATGAGTGGAAGAAGAAATCCATGGCTTTGATATAAACAATTCAGTCGGAAGTTTATGAATTCAAGACCAGAAGTTGAAATTATCTCGCTAAGAGAAGAACAAACGATTGGAGCATATAAGAAATAATATTCTTCCAAGGTGTAGCCTTCTCGAGCTCACTTTAGTGACCAGCGTTACGGCTATTCCGGATCAATAATGTGGTGGGCAGCTTGAAGTACTTGACGAGAAAATGGCATATGTTTGGAAAATCATAAATTCTACTGCTATTCAACCTGTGTATAAATACATTTCTGGAGAATCAATAAAATCAGTTTCTGTTTATTTAAGGCTGCTAGTAACTGAATGCAGCCGTACTGTGAGCCTTTTACGGCAACGAATGAAGCTTCATCAACAATTCGACATGACAACATGTTAATCATCATGCACACAACGGGAAGTAAGTGTTTTTATGTACAAAGGCAATAAATAATGATAGAAATCGTTAAGTAGATTCCAACACGATGAAACAAACAATATCACAGGCAATGGAGCTAAGAGAGGTGCGAAACAGCCGCTGAGATGAAACATACAGGAAGGTCTCTCAACGTTCTTCTCATCAAAAATCACAGACTAGAAGTTATTCAGGAGCATGTCTAACAGTGTTCACACTTCAGTTGCACGTTGATGGTCTACATATTTTTCTGGAATGATGATTCAGATGAGAAAAAAAAAAGAACAAACCATTAATCATCCGCGTTCTCTTGATGTCAACTCGTACGAACCAGGCTGCTACTGCTAATATCAAGAGCATGAGAATACAAGTAATTGTGTAAATGACTATTAACCATGCGGACCACATTATACTTCTGAATTGCCCGGAAGTTAGATTCTACACACACTTTCGATCACGAAATCAAAGAATTTTTCATGTAGAAATGCATAGACCGGAAAATCCGGCCACTGACGTGTAAATAACGAAAAAAGTGCTCGAAGAAACTCAAATGAGGTTGGAAGAGTTAGAGCTTAACGCGAAACACGTTATGTCAGGAAAGAGATATGTATATGATAGTGTTCTGGCCAAACAAAGGAGGGAAAAGCATCTATTGCTTTGCAGAACGAAAGCAGTCTTCGTGATAATCTTTCACAAACGAATGAGTCAAGTTTTAGCTGAGGAATTCAAAGTTGTAAAGAGTGAGAACGAAATGAAGAGTAAGTTGTTTTTGGTGATTGATGGAAGAAGAGGAGAATCATGGAGAAAAGAAAAGGAATGAAGGCTTGCTCGTGGCGTGATTCACGGCAATGCCGGCTGTCCTTATGGCTAATGCAAATATAATGTAAACTGGATTGACGAGGTGCTTCTTCAATCGTTTTTACTTTTTGTATTCTAGCAAACAGGAGTTCTGTGAAAACAATATGGAATGATTCGATTCTCTGAGACTACATGGATTTTTGAGGACTTGCTATGGAAACAGCTGTGGAAAAGTATGAAAACCATTAAACTTATTGGTGGTGATGTTTCTGGGCCAAACGATAGTGGAGTGTGATTGAAGCTAAATCATGTTTCGTTGGAGGGTTGGGCTGAAGGAAAAGGACTGTTGTGACTATAGGGAACAATCATATGAGGAATATGCAAAACAGAAGGAGAAAGGGTCTCGCAAGTAATCAATAGTAAGAATATGTATAATATATGAAAATGATAAAGTTATGCTCTTCGATGTGTTAAAGACAAACAATGGATGTAAATCGATTGTATGATATCAAATTTAGGACTCAATGTTGTTAGATAGGAGTTCGTTTATAAGAGAACACTTAACATCGGCTCTTTTCTTGAGATGAAAGAAGATATCATATCCCATTTCTAATTTCCTACAATCGAAGTATTTCAAAAAACAACGGAGCATACAATATGTTTGAGATGTTCAAACTGAATTTGGTAGCTTAGGAGTAACAAGCTGGAGCTCAGAAGGTAGCAATTAGACTTAGAGAGGATTGATGAGAGGATGACTACTAAAATCAGATTAGTGGCATCCACTTATTCGCATTTACGAGAGAAGACAACTCTTTCTCGTCCTCTCTCTCTCTCTCGAAAAAGGTTCGCTCAGTTCAATTTTTTTCAGTTAACCAAAACATCTAAAGACAATGCCTCAACGACGGATTACTGTGTGGGAAACATATGCGATGCGTGGACCATGTGAAGAAAAAAATTCATTGAAAAGAACATGACATTGGTGAGTAGCAAAAATCCGATAGAATTTCGTGAAAAAGATTGCATGCCGGTCATAACAGACAGGAATTCTATAAAAGGCATGAACGATAAAAAAGAGAAAATGATGAAAGCATATAGTGGATCAATGGCTGTTTTCCAATTGAGACTCACTTTTTATGGATGAATAGCCTTGTGGATCAGAGTGTTTGATGACCAAATATAGTCTCAATTATGAATGAGTGAGAGTCATGTGCTAAATTAGCCAAAAAGAGGATAATGAGAACAATAATATCATGAAACTTGCTGGATTTCACTCATCATTGCGGTGTTCATTGAAAATGCGAAGGATTGGCCATGCGAACTCAAGAGCGTACACGATGACAGAGTTTCACAGAACCCTCTATGAGATGTTCAGGTGTCATCGGAAGCCGATTGAGAACAAATGCGTTTCTCAAAGGTTTTTCATGTTGACCCCAACAATGGGTTTAATGAAAACATGAAAAAAACGTTTAACAACAAGAGCACTAATATTCGGGTCATCTGAGAGAAAATGTGTTTTTCTTTCAAGGACGTATATTCGAAGAGCATGTGTGATTGAGAAGAGAGCATAAAATGGAGGTAAATTAAGAGGGAAATTGCAGAAACATGACTAAACGCTGAAAGATCTCGAGAGAATCTAATGAGAGAGAGAGACAGAGAAATTTCAACAAAGAAAATGCAATTTAAGAGACTACGATTGGAAGAGAGACGAAAGACGTTGTTATGCACTCATTAGAATATGCAAATCTATACAAATAGAAAGGGTTTGCCGTCACATGTAAGGTCCAATAGTTATAGGCTAAATCCAAAGCAGCTCTTTCCCATTTAATGGCAGGTATGACCCGGGCAATCGTTGCCCTGCTTTCACAGCTTGCTTCAACTTTAGCATTCTTAGTTGAGGTAACAAAGTGATTATGAGGATAAACACTGATACTCAAAACGATATCTACTTCTTAACTGTGATTCGGAAAATAAAAATTCTCTGCCAAGTTATTTTGCGTTTCAATTTTGGAAAATAGACCGAATCGCACAGAAGAGCAAACTACGAATGATCAACTGGATTGCTTATGGGAAAGATAAATGTCAAGCGTCAGCGGGCGCGAAAATCATTTGTGCTCGGCAAAACGTAGTATGCGGTTGGTTTCTGCTGTGTTTTTTGTAATGGTTTGTTTGATCGTTAGAGCGTACCGATAGGACTAAATCCAAAACAAACAAGTAAGTTTCGGGTTATTAGGGCATGAGGTAAATTATAAAATCCTTGTTTGGTTATTATATGTAAGAACTCGAGTTTGGCAGAGAGTATTGCGTAGTGTTGATTGTACGAATAGGATGATAGAGAGTTTTGAAACCATTTGAATGAGGGAGAGAAAAATAAACTTAATAGTAAAACTTGTATGAGTTGGGAAGCTTCCACTTGTCAGCTTAGAGACGTTGCGATGTCATTTGAACTGGTTGTCAATTTGTCAAGAAAAATAGTTTGTCCTCAACTAGGAATGAAAAATGAAGGGTCTAACGTAGCTGGAATATTCGCAAATATAGATAGGATGCGATGCATTTTAAGGGAAAAGGTGATTGTTTCGATACATTACCAATACAAGTTCATACAGCTCAGTTCGAGTTGAGAAGAGTTGTCCCATGTGTATATACATGTTCAGTTGAGGTAGAATCAACCTTTCGTTTCATCACTACTATGGCAAGTGATCGCTGATTGATTTTTTTCTTGAAAAAAAAACAGAAATTTTAAAGTGATAAAACGTTATAGAAAACCGAAATGGTATAATCAATCAGTTTTCAAAATATATTTGACTTCGCGTTGTACCTTCAGGTAACGATAACCACAAACATGTTTTGTTATTCCATTTCTGCAGTCTTCGCAAGCTGTTATGAAGCTTTTCCTTTGCTTTGTGCTTTTTACTACTTGTGGAGCAATACACTTTCATTCGCGAAAAGATTATACTAAATGGGATTGGAACAGATTAGTAAGATGCACGGTATCTCATGTATATATATATTTTTTTTAGATGAGCGAGCTCACCCATGCTCTCAAATATTATCATTTGGAAGAGCTGTTACCTAGCCTCGATCTTAGAGATGTAAACTTGACTAATAGCTGTCGTGATGACTTGATGTTCTTGACCGACTCCATTACCGATTTGTTGAGAGAAGTATATAAGTCTTTGAGAACCTTCGAAAATCGATGATTTCAGTTCGAAGGCATAATGAAAGGGAACAAGACGGAAATCTCTCCGTCGGGCAAACTGTTAGCTTTACCAAGTTACTTTATTTCTCTAGAAAAGCGCTGAGTATATGTTTTATAGTGTTGGATTCCTCCTCCAAAATTGGACCTGGAATCTTAAGAGGTCACATACACTTTTTAGGATTTTTGCCGCAGTGCATCAAAGTGAAGTACTTTGCAAACGAACTCAAAAGAGAGATACAAGGAGATTATTTCAGGTAATCAGTTTTTCAAAGAGATATTATTTTTTCCAGGGTTTATCTTGACTTGCCTTCGTTCCAAACCAACAGTTGTATTGAGACTTATGACTGTCCAAGCCTTGATCTCTGTCTGCCACATAGCTGCAAGAATGACGAATTAACTCCTCTCTTCCGATCAAGTTTGTTCTCGATTATGAATAACCTGGGTGATGATCTTTTGTGTTCAAGTCAAAACAGGAAAGTGGAAAAATCAAGTAAGGCGAGCTGAGCATATAAACGCTAACATCCCTCCCCCCGATGTTGGGACTTTCATTATTCTGTATGTTAATTTCATATATGTATTATACATTATTGATTACAATGGGGGTATGAATGTTTAACACATCCAATGTGTTGACAAGAGAAGATGGAACGATAGAGAGATGGATTGAGTTAATGTAGCTGATTAGAATAAATAATTTCTTAACTTTATAGCTTTTTTCTCAATCAGGAATGAACATATTATAAACGTTTCTTTCTAAACTTCATTTCAGAAGTTTGTTTCTTGTTCTACTAGCATCATGTCTTCTGTCAAGCGTTATAGACTGTTTTTGGCTTTCAAAAGAGAAGGACACGATTGGTAAGAGACAGTGGCTTCGTTAAGATCTTTCATAAATTCAGGGAACTACTCCAAGCTCATAATGGCTTTTTCTTATCATAGAAATGTGAAAGAAATATTTACTGTGAGTATATCTCAGGTACTCTCGCATCTAATTATCTCAGTAACCTAACCTTATAGGAAGATCATATACCTGTTTTGCATTGTATGAGATTTCTCTCCATAGCATGGGTTATCGCAGCACACACCTATGGCTTTTTATCTCTTGTAGTGAGTGAGTCTCTCGTTGTTTGTATAAGTCATAGTCACATCTGATAAGAAAATCCATTGGATCAGCTGGACACTGTTCACCACGGATATTGGACAGCCTTTTATGCTAACGGGTTTCCAGCTGTTGACACTTTCTTCTATATGTCTGGCTTACTGTTGAGTTACCTATGGTTCAAAGTAATGTACACAGATTTGTGTGTTATGTCTAATAAGTTTTATAGGAGTTCCGAAGAAACCGTTCTCGAACCATGTCGCTGAAAGCTTGGTCATTCTTTTATATTCATCGCTTCATTCGGTACTTTCTGATATATCAGTATAGCAAGTAAAGTTGTTCCAGCTTGTCTCCTGCTTACTACCTGACTCTCCTGTTCTACACGTTCGTGTTCTCACGATGGTATACGAATATGCCTGTACTGACTTTGTCGGAAATCCAAAATGATACTTGTCGAGATCAATGGTGGATAAACGTCCTGTATCTGAATAATTTCATTTCGCAAGAGAAAATGGTAGGTTATCAGAAAGAAAGGAGAGCATTCTCCAGTGTTTTGTTGTTTCTTGGTATTTGGCTGTGGATATTCAACTGTTTCTGTTTTCACCATTAGTGCTAATTCCTTTCGCATTTTCTGGCTATTTTGGAGGTTTGACAGTTGCTGTCGTTTTCATCTCTACCTCAATCGGTAAGAAAGGGGGACAAGCTTCATAGAAAATATTTCTCAGGTCTATCGTTCTATCAAGTTTATCACTGGAGTTTTCCGCCTTTGCTCTATAGATTAGATGCTCAGCATAAGGATGTTACAGAGTAAGTTGATCATTGGGATCTGTGCTCTCCTAATAAGTACCTAACTTCAGTGACTACCAGTTCTGGATGTATTATCAGCCTTATATTCGTTGTCAGCCGTATATAGTTGGCATCATAGTTGGCTATTACCTGCAGTTCACTAGAAGGCTTATCATTCCTAAAGTAAAATGCTTCTTTGAAGGTAAATATAATAAAGATTGCTTACAGGTGCTAAATTGTTTTGCATACGTGTTCTCTTTCGGCTTGTTCTTTGCTATTGTGTTTGGAGTGAACGGTTTCTTGAATGGTGATCAGATGAACAACTTTACCTCAGCGTTATACAATAGCCTCGCTAAGCTGGGGTGGTCTCTGGCTCTTACTTGGTTAACAATATCGTGCCATTACAACAATGGAGGAGCTGTTCAGAGCTTTATGAGCTGGTGGATTTGGATCCCCCTGGGAAGATTATCATTTTGTGCTTATCTCATTCACATACCTCTAACTCTTTTTGTTTGGGGACTAGATAAGTATGAAAAAGTTTATTCAGGAGAACTAGATGCGGTTCGTGAAGCGACTATCTAGCCTTGATCTTTGACGGTTCTATTTTTTTGCAGTTTATCAACATCATCCTTCCATCCATTTTCTATTCGTTTGGAATGGCTGTTTTCTGGAAAGCTCTGGTCGAAATGCCATTCAGCAAAGTAAGAAGTCATTTCAAGTATAGCAGTTCATCCTTTACAGATGGAGTTTTTCTTTCTCCAACGTTGGGGAAAAGAGTCGTCGTTCGTGAAAGAATCCTCTATGAATAAGCAGACAGTTGCATGTATCAACTCTTGCAAAGTGTCTGTAATCAACAAAGACTTTACACAGCTATGAGTCTGATATGTTCCAATATTTACTTGTTTCAAAGTGTCGAATATATTTTTCTATTTTACTCATCGATAGACTTTTTTTTTGTTTTAGCTTCGATTAGGCATAATTATGGTGTGAAACACTATAGAATGGTGTGCCTTAAACGCTGAATAATCAATAGCATACATGAAGCATGCATGATTCGTGGTAGTTTAATAAGTTTTGATTTATATAATCAACTCTGTCTTTCTCACCGTTGTGTCCGTTTCTTCTAGACATCACATTCAAAAGAAGCAGTATGGATTCAATTTTAAACAGTTATTTCATTTTTGCAATCTGCTTTGTTATTCAGTGCAAGATGGACCGCAACTCAACTGAATGGGTTGAAAATAAAGTTGAAGATTGTGCGGCAATTTGTCCCGCATTTTTTGATGAGACTGCATGATAAATGGCTCATATACAACTATGAAAAGCCGGGAACTACCCGTCACGTGGAAAGCATCTTTACGTGATGAAAAAATGGTTCGTTGTTTAAATCCAACCAAAAAGGAAACTGATTCAATTCATTCGATATCAATTTGTTATTGCAACTAGAGCCCTTCATTTTGCTGATCCATCTCATCTCATACACACATACTTCAAGAATTGTTTCTGCTCAATATTCTGTTGTGAAGCCAATAATAAATTTTTTGTTTTTGTTAATTTTCTTCTCGATGTATGAGTGGTTGACACCGTTGTTACTTGTATCTCTATGCTAACGAGGCTCATTACTACGGACTTCCTGTGTGGAGAAAGTACAGTAACTCAATTATACTGCTGCAGGTAAGATCTTCATTTTG